CTTAAACATATGGGAGACATAGATTTCTTTTGGGGCATCCAGGTCAGAAAACTTCCTAATGGTTATCTGCATGTTTCACAAGCCAAATATATCAGACCTTCTCCACAAAGTTGGAATGTCAGATTCCAAGGGTGTCAAAACACCCATGGTGAGTACTTGTAAGCTCACCAGTGAAGGGAATGATTATCTTTATGATCCCTCTCACTACAGATCTCTTGTTGTAATTCTAAAATATGCTACACTAACTAGACCAGAACTCAGCTATGTTGTAAACAAAGTGTGTCAGTTCATGGCTAACCCCTTACAAGAACATTGGAAAGCTGTGAAACATATTCTCAGATATCTTTATGGAACTATCACTCATGGACTTATCATCAAACCTCTTCCCTTGTCAAAAACACCTCTACCTATCTCAGCTTTCTGTGATGCTGATTGGGCATCAGATCCTAAGATAGAAAATCTACATCTGGGCCATGCATTTTTCTAGGCCCTAATATCATTTCCTGGTGGTCTAGAAAACAACTGAGGGTAGCCAGATCTTCGGCAGAAGCTGAATATAGAAGCCTAGCAGATACTACATCAGAAATCTTATGGGTTCAATTTGTACTCAAAGAACTTCAAGCTCCTTTTATTACTCCAAGAATCTACTATGACAATCTCAGTACAGTCCAGCTAGCTCACAATCCTGTTTTACACTCTCGCATAAAGCACATGGAGATTGATCTTTTCTTTGTATGAGAGAAAGTTCAAGACTTATCACTTACTAATTACTACTACCTCCGTCCCACTAATATTAGGACGGAAGGGGGTGACACGGTTATTAAGAAAAGTGAGTTTATATAGTTGATATTAATTGATAAAGTAAGAATAAAGTAACAACGATTTAGAGCCACACAAACTTTACCGAATTTGTTATGGGACAATTTTGGTGTGATTTCACAAAAAAGTAAGATGTGACAATATTAGCGGGACGGATAGAGTAATACAAAGAAGCAATTTTTACATAACATAAATCAAAATTTAAGTTTAAACTTGTTTTAAATGAAATAAATAATGGAAAGATGGAATTTGTTGTTTTTTATTTCTTTTTTTCTTCCCCTAGAGAATTGTTCCCCAAACATACACAATTTGATTTCTCTCTACATATGACTGAAGATGAAATATCATCAAATAACTAACTAATATACTTTATATTAAATAGAAAAAAATTAATTCACATAGTTGAAAAAATATGTAAAATAAATTCAGAAATCTCATAAAAATCATGCAGTAAACGAAAAGTAAACGAAAAGAACCGCAAATGAGCGAGAAAACGAGCGATGAGCGAACGGCGGCGGCGGGCGATGAGCGAGGCGGCGGCGGCGGGCGATGAGCGAGACGGCGGCGGCAGGCGATGAGCGAGGCGGCGGCAAGCAATGAGCGAGACGGAGGCTGCGGGCGATGAGCGAGACGACAGCGAACAAGCAAGACGCAGCGTCATGGAGCAGCTATGACTTCATTCAGACATCGTTTCATTGATGCGGAGACACTAGAAAGCATAAGGCATGTCGAGCCTCCATGGCGAGCACGATTAAGCGCCGCGACGCCAAGGTGACGACATGGCAACGTCCCAACAACTATGTCCAATTGAAATCCTAGAAAGAGAATTCCCTAACTCTAGATTGATAAGTTCCATGTCAATAAAAGTCTTTGGTTGCACAATTTTTATTCAAAATCTCAATAGAAATGCATGGAAATTTGAACCAAGGGCGAGAAAGTGTGACTAGAGGTGTTTGAAGTTCAAACATGTTAAATAATGAATAATGAATTTCATATATTTGCAAGAAGAAACTGTTGGGATGTCAACATTTTCATTCTATTAAAAAATGGGATGCACTGAATAAATGTTCTTACATCTTGCGCTTGGACATATCACCTGCTGAAACACCTTCAGCAGCTGGGGTTCCTTCCAAAACAAGTCCCTCCTGCATTATACATAAAGTGCAAAGATTGTAATCACTATCAGTATAAACTATGTATACGAGTTCCAACTGCTTTTGACAGCATTAAAAGAGAAGAAAGATTAATGGACCTTGGCAAGATAAAGGTTACGGTGGTCATGTTCCTCCTTTTTTGTTTTCTCTAACTCCTTATCCTGAGCTGTTTTTTTGTCAACAGCCTTGAAAACCTTCAATTGCCTACCCTTCAGTTGTACACCCAAACCAGATGCCGAGTTGGCAGCTGAAAGAGAAGCTTCAGCAGCATCAACCGTTTTAAATTTGAGAAATCCGGTACCCCTCGGTCGCCTATGGATATTCAATACAGAGAGTCATACATTGCAAAGAGAAAATATAGAGCCCGTTTGGAGATGAAAAATATAGGTGCTTCTTTGTTGGTAAAATTGATGATATTGATGCATTTGGCTCTTAAGATAGTACTTCTTTTATTTATTTAAATATACTCTCTCCATCCCTATATAAAGGTCCCCATTCATTTTACACACATTTTAAGAAAGTGGGATTGTTTGGCACTGTTTGTACACTGGTTTGCACTGTTTTGTTTACCAAAAAAGGAAAGGGGACTTTTATTTAGGGATGACCCAAAAGGAAGAGGGACTTTTATTTAGGGACGGAGAGAGCAACATTTTAGAACATTTGTACCAATTCAGACATTTCAACTACAATTTCAAACTTAGCCACTTCAATCATTTCAAACTATACCAAATGGGCTATTAATAAGTAATCAAGTATAAACGCATTATAAAAAAATAATAATACTTGGTGACTTGGTGAAGAACTTGAACGAAGGACTCAACATCACCAAATGCACAAAAACGCTGTTTTACTTCTTCGTTATCAACATTGAAAGGAAGATTGCTTATAAAAATCGTCCGTTTCAGATCTTCTACTCCTTCAGTCCACATGGTATTTTTCTCTTTACTACAGCTTTCTGGAATAATAACTTCACTCTTTTCTCCATCAAGCAAAGTGGAAGAATCATCATCTGCAGAAGAAGCTGCCATCCCTTTCGAAGTGGATGACATTAAATTTTCAAGAACTTTCCTCGCAACATCTGCTTCCATATCAATATTTACTTGTGGCTGTGTGTCTTCTCCTCCATCAACTTCTTTTTCTTCTTCTTCCTCTTCTTCAATCCCATTACTAAGATCTTGTTGGGACTTGGCATCAATCTCTATTTCCTTACCTTCCAAATCAACACTAATGTTATCGCCTTCATCACTTTCATTTTGTCCTTCTGCAAGGAAAGTAAGAACATAAGCAAGAGGCGGAGAATGATGTTGTAACAAGAGGTATGGGTTTGTTTGGATGGAGGGTTTTGGGGGGAAGTTTTGCATGGCTTATGTCTATATTTTGATTAATAGAATGTTTCTAAAACAAAAGAAGTAATAGTAATGTGATATGAACACCCTTTAACATTTATAAAATCTCAAAATGTAGACCAAGATGTAGATTAGGCCCCCCAAAGCCTTTCCCCAAACTGGAGTATGTTTTAACTCGAAACAATAAAATCATATGTGAAACCAAATATGCATAATATACAACTAAAAGCCAACCAATTTTGCCATCCTCTAAGGTTGCAGCAGGTTGACTATCAGCAACATAAACCTTTTTGGGTACAGCCCAATCAATAGCAATAGGTCTTCCACCACAAGTCTTTCCATTGAAAGTCCTAATTGCCTGTACATCCAAACATTGAGGAACAATAAGAAATTAAGACTGAAAGAAACGCACAGTAAATAAATAGAAACTATAATAAGTTAAGTTCTACAACTTCAATGGAGATTAGCTACCTGATGCATGCTACAGTATAATATTATGGAAAGATAAACAGAGTGATCAAGTAGAACAATGAGGAGTAATAGTTGATTGACTTGCTTGATTGATTTATTATGATTATGATTTGATTGTACTACCTTCATTAGTTAATCTATTTTAGAAGTGATATTCTAGGATTTCCCTTACCTTGATTTCTGCATTCATATGCATGTAATACCTCTTATAAAAGGGAGCTTTGCTATGCTAATAAAATATTTAAAAAACAAGGAGAAGGAAAATGGCTGAATTTCCATAGCCCCTTATCCGTTTATCATTTATAGTGCATTCCCATGACACAAAGAATCCTGGTACATAACACTAGCAACGTAAAAGCCGGTTGTGTGGTTTGGACATGTGCGTAGAAGACTGAGTGATGCACCTGCTAGACGAGTTGAAGGGGGAAGAGGCAGGGGAGGAAGACCCAAACAAATGTGGATCAGAGGAGTCAAAGAGATATGCTTCTTCTTGAGTTGGTTGAGAGTATGACCTTGTTCGAGCAAAGTATGAGAGTATTTGTTTGGAAGAAGATAAAGGAGGAAGTTGTTGTGGTAAGCGTGTCACGGTCTATAGTATCACTTTTTCTCATCACATGACATGAATCGAAATATGAATATCGTTACAGCTAGATCGACACCCGTAAGCGATGTGTCATCCTTCCACCTAGGGGTAGAGTCAAATATGCAAGGGGTGCTACACTTAATAGGCCTAGGTGTGGTGATAAAAATGTTATGATTGCTAAGTCATCACTCGAAAGCAGAGGACCCTCCCAATGCCCAAAATGGTGTCAAATATGTGAGGGCATAGTGGGTGTTGAGGTGGTGTTAAGAATAGAAGGTGAAATTCTAGATTGCACTTTGGGACATAGAACGTTAGGTCTCTTACAGGAAGATCATAGATCATCTGATGTAGACGAGGTGATGAGGAGCCACGAGAAGGAATATCAGCATCATTATTTAAAATTGTGCAACGCCTTTATGCAATAAGGCGCACTTTACTACTTTTAGATAAGGCATACGATCATTCCATTCGGCATAGAGCGGAAGTTGCCTCAAATAAAGGCCTGACTGCTGCAGCCCAAGTTCCCAAACTAATTTTATTTTAAAAATACTTACCGTATTTGGCATAGTATATAAGTTTACGTAACGAGTAGCTAATAGCGACTTCTGCAATGATTAAACAGCGGCTAGCTTTCTTTTCTGTGGCGGTTATCTTCTACAATCTTCTGCGTGCTTTCATCCTTTTCTTCACGCTAACACAAGTATGGCCTGGTTGTCTACGTATTTTATTTGTTTATTTGCGTATTACTTTATCAGCTTATTTGTGAGTTAGTGGATGAATATATTGTACTAGGTACAATTTTATTAGCTTTTTGTTAGTTAATTGACAAATGGTATACTACGTATAATCTTATTAACTTTTTTGTTAGTTAGTGGATGAACATTATATTATTTTATTAGCTTCTTTGTTAGTTATGCACGTTTTAGTCCATAGAAGATATCTTAATACATAGAAGACGAATATTATGTTATTTTATTATGTTGTTTGTTAGTTATACACGGTGTTATTATCATGTCTGTGGCAAAAAAGTAAGACCCAACGTGGCAACACGGGAAAAAATAAATAGAGGGGTTACAAGGGAAAGCGTAAATGCAACTAATCTGGTCAAGAAACTACTGGAGAAGTTAGTAGATTAAAAAATCACCTTACTTAAAGAAAGATGATTGTAACTTCTGTTTGTGATCAAGTCAGATTATGTAACATAGACAAAAAATAGAAATTTACACAACAAATATTTAGATATGATCAGAATAGGAGGATTACTTTTCACCGAGTGCTTCTCTCTCTAGGGTTTTTTCTCCGCTATTGATATAATTGAGTAGCAGCCGTCTCCTACATAGTTAGGGTTTTTTGTTCCGTCGAGCTTCGCTCGTGCGGCTTGGATTCTTGTGGAACGAGAGCTTAGTGCGGTTTTCCTTTTGGGTGTTTCGGAACGTGAGTGGAACACAAGGGCGGTGGGTGCGGCTTGGATATTTGTGGGCGAAGAAACACAAGACAACATGATAGAGTTCTCTTCTGCACCTCGGACATGGATTTCAATGGCAAATCTCAAGGAGCAAATTGGTAAGAGCAAATTGGCGAGCGCAAGAAGGATAGGGTTTCAGACAAGATTTTCGAGGGTTCAAATTCTCTTATACCATACTACAGCAGCTCGCCCTTCTCCGGAACCACCTCCATGCGACGAAGCAATTTGGGTTCGTATTATTTTTCCTTCCGTAATACTTATTTTTATTTCAGTTTGAGCAGGTTTGGTTGGAGTATTTTGATTTTTGAAGAAATTTTTATAGGCAGTGTTTCATTTTCTATCATTTTAGGCTTCTTCTTGCCCGTTTTGTGTCTAGCGAGTCAGGTTTTTTTGTATGGGTGGCTCACTCTAAGTCTATTCCTAGGGCTTATGATCCGATTTGTAATTGTTGTCTGGATTTTGTGTTGCATGTTTGCTCTATATTAATGAAAAGTCATTTTGATGATAAAAAAATCACCTTACTTGAATAAGAAAAAATGTTAAACCGTGTCCATCCGTTTCTGATAAAATTAAAAAAAAATGTTAAATCTTCTCAAGCTGAGTGAGAACACAAAAACGGTGTACAAAAGAAATCAAGAGGAGCTTATTGATAGTGGTTCCTACAATCAAAGTTTGGACCCATCTCCCAGAGATTTGAGTGAGGTTAACAAACTTGCTTGGAAGTGGGTAGAGTTTTTTTTTAGAACAGGATTCCTGTCAATGTAGCCAACTCTCCTTTTCTTAACATGTGTCGCTCAATTGGTAATTATGGCCGAGGTTTCAAACCTCCTTCAGCATATGAGCTTAGTCATTGGGTTCTGGATGACATGGACGCAAACAAAAGTTTTAATATTATCTGAAGGGTGGAAAGATATGCGGGGCAGGCAGTTGATATATTTTCTCATTAATAATCATTATGGGACCGTGTTTTTAAAATCAGTTGATGATAGAGACCTAAGAATATTATTAAGTCTTAATATTTTGTAATAAAAGGGGTGTAGGCCTTATAACTAAGTGGAGGTGGGCTGGCCCATGAGTGAATGAATAAATAAGGTAGGCTGGGAATAGAAGAAAGGGGGTGGTTGGAATTATCGGGCTTGGGACTCGGGACTGGGAGTCGGAAACGACTTGGGAATTGTATTCTTGTCTCTCGGTTAAACAATGAACTTTTGTTTTTGATCTTCATCGCCATTTTTGAGCTCAGAATTACTGTTGAATTACCTAACATTGGTATCAGAGCAATCGACGCCTGGAACCATGGAGAAGCGCTATGGTTTACGCGAAGAACATCGATGGTCAGAACTGTCCGCATCTGGTTTGTGCAAATTGGAACGAAACAGGAGAAGGTGGATGAAGCGTGGAAGACTCGCGATGAAGTCGGAGCTAGGTCAAAGACAGGAATTACCTCTATTCCACAAGGTTGAAGCGTACGCATGGATAGGGAGGATGGAAAGATTTAAAGTAGACATTGCAGCAAAGGCAATGGGGGAAGCTGCAGATGGCTGGTTTCAATGGTGGGACTTTCAAAAGAGAGAAGATAGTTGGGAGGCTTTAAAAGAAGATTTGATTAGGGATTTTCCACCTAGACACCGGCAGAAGACAGGGAAGACAGCAAAACCAGAGTCATCGAGGTCTTCGCATCTCTTCGCATCGTTCTTCTCATAGCTCTTCGCATTACCATTCTAAAAAATGGTTGCAAGTAGAAAACCCCAACTCGCAATCACCAGATTCTTCACTATCAGGATTGATGAGTTCACAAGTTTCTCAACCTGCGAAAGAATTGCCCCAGTCAATAAATAAAACTGAGATGGAGCCAACGGAATCTGTAATCAAGAAACTGAATAAGAAGGACGAAACCGAGGAGCAAGGAGAGATTATCCAATGGCCAGAAATTTCATGCATTGGTAAAAAGAGACCTGGTACAATGGCAATTAGTCCAAAGTGGGAAGAACCAGGCACCTCTAATATGCAGCTGTCTTCCATGAACAAAGAAGGAATCACAGCCCCTAAGACTTTCAGAGTGAAAGGGAAATTAACAAGTGGCAGAAGGACTAAAGATATTATCATTCTAATTGATTGTGGGGCTACTCACAATTTTATATCTCAAAGGGTAGCTCAAACAGCAGGAGTATCTGTCCACCAGCTCCCAGAATATAAAAGGGAAATAGGAAATGGGGACCTAATCAGAAATGATGGGAGATGTGAAGCTGTTTCTATTAACATACAACAGACTAACATCATTCAAGACTTCTATGTCTTAGAATTGGGAGAAATAGAGATGGTTTTGGGATTAGAATGGTTATCTGGATTGGGAACTGTTGAATTTAATTTCAACCAGCTCACTATTAAGTGGAGGGAAAATGGAAGAGTCAGGAAGCTTCAGGGAGATGCCCATCTAAGCAGACACCAAGTTCCTCTCAAATCTATCACTGCAAAGATTCAAGCAAATGAAGAAGAATTCTGCTTGCTCAAATCTGCAATGATAGAAACGGAGATGGAAAAGGAGACAGCCAATCCATGGAAGAAGGAAGGGTTCACAGAAATTGCTGATAGGTTCACTCTCGAATACCAGTGTAATACAATCCAAGTAGACCTGGACTTTATGAATCAAGCTGTGGAAAGGTTAAAGAGGTTGATTGAGCAAACAGTTGAGAAGCATGAGGAAAAATTTGGTAAGCGGGTTGTTGTTGCTCTCTATGAGGCAGCATGTTGTGCCCTGGCCTCCATAGAATATGAAAGGATCAAGTTTGTTCCTGGGAAGATGTTGATACAACTGGAGAGGCAGAGGCTGGGAGAAGTCTTAGGCACATGGAGTAGGTCGGGAGGCTATGTACTGAGTTCTATCTTACCTTCCTCGGGTGCTGATTCGAAAACTGAGACTTACAGTCCCGAAGATGATTATGTGTTCTTCATGGGAGATTCTATACGAGATCAGACTTTGGGAAGGGATGGAGATAACAACTGTGGCCAAAAGGATCACTATGTGGACACAGAGATTGAATGGAGATCAAAACGAAGAAAACAATACGAGCTGAAGTACTGGGAAGGCAGAGGAGCGAGGATAAAGCATAATGGCATAGCTATTTCTTACTCAGTCACTTCCCACCTTGAGGACAAGGTGTTTGTCAAAGGGGGAGTGATGATAGAGACCTAAGAATATTATTAAGTCTTAATATTTTGTGATAAAAGGGGTGTAGGCCTTATAACTAAGTGGAGGTGGGCTGGCCCATGAGTGAATGAATAAATAAGGTAGGCTGGGAATAGAAGAAAGGGGGTGGTTGGAATTATCGGGCTTGGGACTCGGGACTGGGAGTCGGAAACGACTTGGGAATTGTATTCTTGTCTCTCGGTTAAACAATGAACTTTTGTTTTTGATCTTCATCGCCATTTTTGAGCTCAGAATTACTGTAGAATTACCGATAACCTAACAGTTATTGCATCTGATCAAGTGAAAGAAACGAATGTTATGTAAGCTTCTTGATAGTGTTGTGGAGGAGGTAGGTGCAGATATTGTTTCTCATGTGGCCACTGACAATACACCAAACTGCAAGGCGTCTGGAAATTTACTAATGGCCAAGCGACCTCATCTTTGGTGTACACCTTGTGCAGTTCATTGCATTGATTTAATACTAGAGCAAATTGGAGAGCTTAGTCAACATATGATTGTGCTAGCGAAGGCGAAAAAAGTAACTCAATTGCCACAATAAATTTAAAATAATTTTTAAATTGTAAAATAGAAATTGATTAATTTATTTGTAAACAAACTGCAATAGTAATTGTCACATGATCAAATATATAAAAACTGCTAAAGTTTTTATTTTGAAGTTAGAAAGTGCAATACATATTGTTTGAAAGTGCAGTTACTGAACGTAGATCAACTTTTTCAATTCCAAACTGCAATAAGTTTGAAACTAAAATTGTATCCTAGATCAACTAGTCATTTAATTTTTTAAGATCGGAACTAGTGAATAACAGGTGTATAACTTAAACCGTAAATAATTCAATTATTATTTTATATTTATACATCTTTAATTTACTAATGTATTAGATATATTAATATTATTTGGAAATCGGTGAGTCATTTTATATATAGTCATGGATGGTCACTTGCATTGATGCGCCAATTTACTAAAAGAGTTCTTATTCGCCCGGCCACCAAGATCTACTATGTCATATCTTACGTTGCAAATTATGCATAGGGTAAAAGATTCGTTAGAAGAAATGTTTATCTCAAAAGGTCAGCACATCAATTATCCAAGTCAACAAAGCCATTGCTTACTGTGTTGAGGATGGCATGGCAGACTCTGAGAAGATACCCGGTATGGGATTTTTATATAGCTCCATGGATCGTGATGTGGAGATTGCAAAAAATTTGGTCGGGGACTTGTGTCCCAATGTGGAGATCAAACACCATGATTAATGGCTTTTGCTACCAAGGTTTAAAACTGTGTATTGTGTAATCGTGGTGTTCTTTTATTATTGCCTATTGCGTAAGCCTCATTGCGCAATGAGGCGTAGACTTGAGGCGTAAAATGTAATATACATATGTGTGTGTATTTGTGTGTGTTAAGCAAATATATAATCAAGAAAATAGATTGTATATCCATGATCCATCTTATTTTTATTAATTTAATATATTAGTATAAAAATATACGAATTATAAAATGATGAATTTATGTGGAATCTAAATGGTCCAAGTCATCTAAGATAGATCATTATATCTACATGTGTCATCCTCAAACCAATCCACTAACACATATAATAAAGAAAATAGACTGCATGTCTATCTTAATTATATTATTTTAATATATTAACATTAAAATATATGAATTATAAAATGATGAATTTATGTGGAATCTAAATGGTCATTATAAGATGGATATAAGATGGATCATTATCTCTACATGTGTCATCCTAAAACACAACATGACCTCAAAACAATCCACTATTCCCACTAACGCATATAATCAAGAAAATAATGCCATTATCCACCTAAGATAGGCGAACAGCGCACCTGTGAAGAAGAAGAACGAAGGGAATAGCGTACACGACTAAATGCAAGTAGGCGAACAAAAATAAATAAAAACTTAAAAAGTGGGCCCTATCGTCCCACATAATTCTAATATTCTATTATATCTACTTAATCTGCTATGGCGGTCGCCACACCCGCCTTGTTGCACATCACAAAAGGCGTACTCCTCTGGGTAACATAGCGTAAGTCTCTGCCCGAACGCCTTTACCCATGCAATTATGCGCCTCTCTATAGGATTTCCCTCAGGCGAGCCTTATTGCGCTATTGCATTGCGCATTTTGAAACGATGTTTGCCATTAGAGTTTAGAGTCTATCATGTTCATCATTTGCTTGTAAACGTAATTGGGGCACTTTTAATCAGGTATTAACATTGTATGTAAATAATCAAATAACTATATTTGTATAAATTAGATGTAATTTTTCTCATACTAATATTCAATAATAACTCTAAATTAAGATACTTGGAGATACATATGAAGAGAAGGAACCGTTAACACAAATAATTTGAATAAATTGGTATTTGTGATGTATAACAAGAGGTTGAAAACTAAATGGATGAAGAAGACTTCACTTAAAGAAGACGCGTACTCTTCGGTCATGGATGAGATTCCATCTTAAGATGAATGGGTGGTTGAAGAAGATGAAATGAATCATGATAGCGGTGATGGTGATGGCAATAATAGAGCTATTGTTGCGTGTGAACGTGGTCAAGGGCAAGGACGTGGCCGTGCGGGGTGTAAGAGATGCAAACACAGTAGTAGAGATGGTCATAGCCAAGGTATTGGGCCTCACTAAGGAGAGAAAAAATTGTGTCAGGATAAAGGCAATAGGAAGCTACATTTGATTGACGGCTAGTCATTATAGTTTCCTTGGTGTTAATGAAAACGATTCTTTTTATCTTGAATTGGATGAGAATGGCGATGATGATGGGGTGGAAGGAAATGCTAGTGGTTTAGATCCCTATTTCAAACCACTAGATACAAATGATTCGCTTTTGGACTCTTAGATCTAATAGGACTAGAACTTCAATAAATTAGAAAATATGTAGTATTTATTTTGAATGATGTTTGAACATACTTTTTTGGATGGGTTTACGACCTCAATTTTGTTGGTTTTCAATATGACATTAGTTGACCTTTAATCATTCTTTTATTTCAATATTATTTATATTATTTGTACTTCTTTTATATAAAGTTGCGTAAAAGTTGAGGCTTACGCCTCATTGCGCAATGACATTTACGCAATAAGCAATGCTACGGAACCGCCTCTAACATTCTATACACAATTTTGAACCTTGATCGGCACATGTACATGCAAGTAATTAAGTGTTTCAGAGATCAATCTTGAATGGTTTTGACAGTACTCGTGGCGTACGTGATTTTGACACTAGAAATGACTAAATACTGCCTAAATGACTAAAACTTAGTTTGGCCTATTAGCAGAACTCACTACTCAGATGAGAGTGTTGTCACTCAGCATTGGATTGTGGTGCTTGACTTTTGACGTGAGAAGCATAGAAGGCGGGTTAAAACAAGTGAAACAAAGAGAAAGTGGTGGCGACTCGAGGGGGTCTCCAACAAAATTTTGCAAACAAATGTTTGGTGAAGATGTATGGTCTGCCCATTAAAGGCTTTCCCCAACATATTCATGATCTTACTATATCAGATTGTATGGTAAATCGGAATTTTAGGAGAGGATCCAAACGATTGAAGCTAAAGAGGCTTTGAGAAAGATGGGGTGGAAGAAAGAGTGGGTTCAGATGGCATACTGATCAAAGTTTGGAGAAGTTTGGGGGAGAGAGGCGTCGAGTGATTAACAAATTTTTGAACAAGATTGAAGAAACAACAAAATGTCAGAGTTGAAGAAAGAGTACTCTTATTTCTTTATTTAAGAATACGGGTGTTGTACAAAAATGTGCCATCTATCAAGGGATTGAGCAAGGATCTGCATATGGTGTTCATTGACTTAGAAAAGGCATATGATGGGGTACCTCGAGAAGTTCTTTGGTGGGCCTTAACTAGAAAAGGCATATCACACAAGTATATCAGCATTATCATGGATATTTATGAGGATTATACTACAAGTGCCCATACTAGTGTAGGAAGAACGACAGAGTTCCCTATTACTATCGGAATGCACCAAGGATATACCGTGGTGCATGATGTTTGCTGACGATATTGTATTGATCGATGAGACGCAATCAGGTGTTAAAGCAAAATTGAAAGTATCGCGCCAAACATTGTTGAACAAAGGTTTCAGACTAAGTCGGAGCAAGACATAGTACATGGAGTACAAGTTTAGTAGAGGTAGAAGATGTGGTAATAGCAGAATTACTCTAGATGGTAAGGAGATACCAGTCAGTGATATGTTCCGTTACTTGAGCTCCATAATTCAGAAGGACGGTGAATTAGATGGAGATGTATCCCACTAGGGATGGCAATGGGGCGGGGTTGGGGCGGGGGTTCACTCTCCCATCCCCGCCCCGTGTCTAAACAATCCCCCCCACCCCTGCCCCATCCCCCACTACTATTTGACCAAGGAAGAGAGGGAGAGGAAGGCCCAAACAGACGTGGATTAGAGGAGTCAGAAGTGATATACTTCTTCTTGGGTTGGATGAGGGTATGACTTCGAAGAGAGCAAAGTGGAGGGCAGTCATTCGTATGGTGGAGTGATCTCTTATCATCTTTTTCCCTTTAATCTTCTTTTTCTTGTTTTTTATCCTTTTATCTTTATATACATAAATACTCTTTTTATCCATTTTATTCTATCTTTTTTATATATTCATCTATTTTATTTTTATCTTTTTATCTTTCTTTCTTTCTTTTGCTTTTGATGGTGATATCATGTACCGATTCATGCTAGCCGACCTCAAAATCTTTTGGGACCAAGGATTGGATGTTGTTGGTGTATGAAGGGATTGAGCGCATGAAACTTTGGAAGCGGGTGATTGAACAAAGGTTTTGAAAAACTGTGAAAATTTCGGAGAATCAATTCGGGTTTATGTCTGGTCGCTCAACAATTGAGGTCATTCACCTTCATAGGCAATTTGTAACGAAGTATAGATACACTAACAAAGATCTGAATTTGGTGTTCATTGACTTAGAAAAAGGCATATGATAGGTACCTAGAGGAGTTCTTTGGTGGGCCTTAACTAAAAAAGGCAATGTTTAAAATTGTCTTACCGTAATAAGGTGTGCCTTGTTAGTTTTGTGAGATTTTCTGCTAGAAGGCTAATCCCAATTTAGGCAATATAAAAGCGTGCGATTTTATAAGTAGGGTGTACGTTAATTGCGTACGCCATGTAGCTCGTTTTGAAGCGCGTAACACATGCTTGTCATGGCGTCGCCTAATCGCCGACTAGGCGGCCTGACGCTAGGGACTGCTCGCCGGCTTCACTCACCTCGCCAAAAGAAGGAAAGTTGTGAATGGCGTCGTCCCGGCGTCGTCTAGGCACTAGGTTGGCGACGAAGCCCTCGCCATGTTTGCAAGTCAAATCGAAGTTGCACAGTCAGACCCAGAAGTCCAGAACCCAAAAAATTAATTTTTTGGGAGCCTAATTTAATTAAAGCTTTAGGCTTTTAATTAAAAGCTAAACCCAGAGTAATTGTTGCCCAAAGTCGTATATCCAAGCCAAGTCGCTGACTCCGAAAAGTCGCAGGAACCAGCCAACGAACTCAGGAAGAAGAACTTGCAGGTTTCACTCTCCA